GACCCGGCGGGCCGGCGCGCCCCTCGCGGCCTGAAGCAAGGGCTGCCGAGGCCCTTGACGCGCCCCTTCCCACGCCGCGCACTTGCCTCACCAGGGGCCACGCGGGACATCGGCTCGGCGCTCACGCGCATGTGCATGCGCCACCGCAGCATCGAGACCAAGCTGCGACAGTTCACCAAGTGAGTGGGTGCCGAGGGGAGGGGGGTGAGGAAGAAGCGTGCCTGTTCGGCGGGTGGGCGGCCCTGACGGCGCCCCTGGCTCGCCCGCAGCGCCCTGCTGGAGAGTCTCATCAACCCGCTGCAGGAGCGCATCGAGGACTGGAAGAAGTCAGCCAACCAACTGGACAAAGACCATGCGAAAGGTGGGCCCCTGGCCGCGGCTGGGCGGAGCCTCACCCGCGCGGAGCCAGGGCCCGCCCCCTTGATGGCCAGCCCCCTCCTCCCTCTGCAGAGTACAAGCGCGCGCGCCACGAGATCAAGAAGAAGTCGTCGGACACACTGAAGCTGCAGAAGAAGGCGCGCAAAGGTAGGGCCGGGAGCCGCCCACCTGCCTGCTGAGCACGGCCCCAGGGGGGCTTGGCAGGGGCCAGAGGGGCCCTGCCCCCTCGCAGAACCCGTCCACCTGTTGGGTGGGACCGAGGGGGCCACCCTACACCCCAGAGCTGGCCCAGGGCCTCCCCTCCCAGGGCCCCTCCTGCCCCGCGCCCCACACCCGCCCCTGGCGCGCTCTGTCCATCCGGCTGTCCTTCACACATTCTTTCTCTGTCTCTCCAATCCTCTTCTCTCCTCCCACGTCCTTCCTGTAGAGCTACTTGGTAAGTCAAATGTCTGTCCCTCCACCTGCTTCTCCGGCCTTGCGGCATCTGCCTGTTGCCCCCTAGCTCAGGGCCATTGGAAGGAGCCAAGAAGGCAATCGGTCAGCGAGGGAGCCCCTGGGGCGCAAGCCCCTGAGGGATGAGTTATGGGGGGAGGGGGGTTGGTCTACCAGGCCAGATGCGGGGCAGGTGGAGTGGGGTGCCCAGGCCTCCCAGGTTCACTGCAGGTCACCTCACCGTCTCCTCATCCTGCCCTTGCCTCTCTCTGTCTCTCACCGCCTCCGCTGCCACCATGTCGCTGTCTCTGTGCCCTGTTCGCTGGGTGCTGGCCATGTACAAATACCTCCTTCCTACCCCGTAGCTCTCCTGCTCCAGGACAGCCCAGCGTCGGTGCAGGCGTCCTCGGGGTGGAAGTAGCTCTCTTGGGTTTCACAGGGTCAGCCTGCAAGGCTGACCAGGGGGGCGGGGAGCCCTGGCACAGCCCGGAGTTTGGCTCTTCCTCCTCTCCCCAACCCCACTTCCCCAGGTGTGGGTGGGTGGCTTTGCAGCTTTGGTACCTTTCCTGTGCGTGTATGTCCATGTGTGTGTCTGTGTGTCCTCTCTGTCTGCTCTGGTGGGACAAGCCCCCAGTGTCCTGACTGCCCTTCCAGCTCCCTGGTCCCCACACAGTGCCCTGCCCCCCCAGCCAGGGATGCCACCTCAGGACCCTAAAGCCAGACCAGCATCCCCAGCTCAGCCTCTCCTCCCCGTACCCTCCAGGGAAAGGTGACCTGCAGCCCCAGCTGGACAGCGCCCTGCAGGACGTCAACGACATGTACCTGCTGCTGGAGGAGACAGAGAAGCAGGCGGTGCGCCGGGCCCTGATTGAGGAGCGTGGCCGCTTCTGTACCTTCATCACTTTCCTGCAGCCGGTGGTGGTGCGTGCCGCCCCGCTGCCTGTCAGGAGGTCCCCAGGAGGGCAGCATCCCCAGCACGGGGCCCAGGAACTGCCGGCCTCAGGCGGGTTGGGTTGGGCCCCAGGGTGGACCCTGGAGCCTCTCAGAAAGGCTGCCTGTCAGAGGGGCCTGGTTGGGCCCACATTCTCCTGCCCCAGAGGCCAGGTTTAGATCTGGTGAGGCCCAGCCCCCTAACAAGCCCAGCATGTGGCTTCATGGGGTGGGAGTAGGGGGCAAGGAGAAGCCTGGGAGGCTGTTCCCATGGGGGACTGACTCGCTGTCCCCTCAGAATGGTGAGCTGACCATGCTGGGGGAGATCACCCACCTGCAGGGCATCGTCGACGACCTGCTGGCACTGAGCGCCGAGCCTCACAAACTGCCCCCCGCCAGCGAGCAGGTTCGGCCAGCCCCTAGTCGGAGGGACGGGAGGAGAGGGGATGGCTGACCCCCGTGTCCTGGGTTGGGGATAGAGGAGAGGGGACAGTACTTAGCAGCTGGGGCCCAGGCCCTCCCCAGTGCCAGCTATGGCCTGGCCAGGTGGTGTACCAGGGCTCGATAGGGGTGGCAGACACACTAGATCTGGCCCCACAAACAGACATCCCTGCCTCTGAACTGACCCTGCCCCATGTCTCATGTTCATTAGACACTCTCCTGAGTGCCCACACTGTCCCCCTCTATTCTCGAGTCAGCCCAGCAAGACTGGGGTCCAAGAGGTTAAGGGACTTGACCAAAGTAACACAGCAGAGCCCACATTGAAACTATGGTGTTGTGGTCAGTGTTGCCAACCGGGCCCCAGCTGGGGTCTGTGTCCACGAGACTCTGAATCGGGCTGCATGGGCCTAGGGGCTCCCCCAGCCTGCACCTCCTGCCCCAAGAAGGTGCTTGCCCTCGGGCCTCTGGAACGTCCAGAAAAGGTGAGCTGCCTCTGTGACCCTCCTCTGCGTCCCCAACCAGGTGATCAAAGACCTGAAGGGTTCAGACTACAGCTGGTCCTACCAGACTCCCCCCTCGTCGCCCAGCAGCAGCAGCTCCCGCAAGTCCAGCATATGCAGGTTAGCGGGCCGTGGCCCAAGAACGCACACACGCAATGTCTCCCAAGAAACATGTGTGCGCACAGGCCACCTTGGGGGTGTGGAGGGAGATAGCAGCTTCCCTTACACTGCACCTGGCTCCATGCTCCATGCCTCCTCCTTGGGAACCCTCTGAGGGAGGGTGGGGAAGCTGAGGCCTGGCACTGGCTTCCCGTCTGGGGATAATAAGACTCTAAGGAGGAGCGCTAGTGGTGCAGTGGTCGCTCGTTGGGCTGCTGACTGCAAGGTCAACAGTTCAAAACCAGCCACTCAGCAGGAGAATGGGCTTTCTACTGCTGTAAATAGTCACAGTCTCAGAAACTCAGTTCTGCCCGGTCCTGTAGGGTCGCTATGAGTCGGCACCGACTCAATGGTAGTGAGAAGGCCAGCGAGGGGCCAGGGCGGGTCTGGGCAGGTGTGCTGAGGCCACTAGGTAAGGGACACTCCTGCCTGGCTGGTGGCCAGGCAGCTGCCACAGGCTCTCGCCCTGGCGTCTCAAGTCAAGGCCAGGCCAGGGGTCTTTCTGCCACAGAGCCAGCTCAGGACCGGGCTTCCTTCTCCAGCTGGCACTGGGCTTGATTTGGAGGAAGCGTTTGAGGGGCAGGGATGGGCAGCAAGCTCAGGGAACTTCTGGTTGGGGTGTCTCTTGCTCCGTAGCTCCTTCTCCAGAGCCCCCTAGGGCTGGACAGCCAGGGTGAGGAGTTTAACTTGGAACTCTGCCGTGGGCTTTGAGGCCACCCCAGGGAGAAGGCACAGGGTGCATAGCCACAGTCCTTCTGCGGGCATGGGCCCCCATGCCCAGGTCAAACCGTTGGCACATAGCACTCAAATATGGCGACTACAGGTATCTGGTTCCAGCCCAGCAGAAACAGTGGCATTTAGTGACTCAGTTTCCCCCTTATTCACCTAAGGGATCTTGTTCTGTGACCAGGTAAGGGCCTTGCCCTGGGTCTGCCTTATTGGATGCCCTGGTCACAGGAGTGTGTGGAGCAGGGGCCCGGCCAGAACGCAGAACCCGGCTCCACTGCGACGCCTGGGCCAAAGGAACTTTTGAACTGACACTGTCTTTTCCTCCCTCTGCCCCTGACGTCTCTGCCCTCATCTGTCTGTCTCTCCCCCTCCACATACACCCATGTCTCCCTCCCTGGCTGGCCCCTTCCTTCACTCCCCAGTGCCCCTAGCAGCAGCAGTGCCAAGGGTGGCAGAGCCCCGTGGCCTGGGGGTGCCCAAACATACTCACCCAGTTCCACCTGTCGCTACCGCAGCCTGGCGCAGCCAGCCTCCACCGCGGCCCGCCTCTCCAGCGTCTCCTCCCATGACTCTGGCTTCGTCTCCCAGGATGCCACCTATTCCAAGCCCCCCTCGCCCATGCCTTCAGACATCACCAGCCAGGTGAGGCGTGTCGGGGGCCCACCCGGGTGGAGGCTTGTCCCACTCTTGAGACTGGCCCGGGGTCCCCAGGGTCACCACAGTGGGAACCAGGGTGAGCCCGGGTCTAGGAGGACTTGGGGCAGCTGGAGTGTCTGCACAGTGGGTATCAGACAGGTGAGCCCACCTCAGGCGGGAGTTTTGTCACCCCACTTCCTCCCCATTGTTCGCTCCTTGCCTGTCCTGTCCCGTCATCGTCGTGCCCCCGCCCTCGCCCCCCCAACCATGGGAATCAGGCGAGGCTAGCTGGCCAACTCTGACCCTGGGGTCCCTCTCCTGGCTTAGGCTTCCTTTGTTTGAGTGACCAGCCCTTGAGGCAGGGCCAGGGCCCCCAGGATCTGCAGACACCCTCGCCCTGTATTCCGGCACATCTTGCTCTGAACCCAGAGCCTGGCCTACTATCTCCCCATTGAAACTGCACTCCCTCCTGACACCTAGATACGTGGGTGGTCCTGCCCTCCCTCTCTGTCCTGTTACAATGTCTCTGTCCATCTCACTGAGGCTGCAGACGGACGGATGGAAGGCAGGGCAGGCTGTTTCCCCGGTCCTTCTCTGCTCTGGCCCCAGTTTCTGCGTGCCCTCACCGTGAGGTTTCTCCATGGAAGAAAACTACAGGCAGTCCACCAGGAATGGCAGCTAGTAGTGTCCATAGAACACGACAGCCCCCCACCCCCGGCTCTGGGCGCAGGTACCAGGAACCTGTGAACATGTGTTAGGCTAAGGTCAGGTCACCAAGCTGAGGCTTTCACATGTATGTGTGAATTGGAGGAGGTCCCCATAGATCTGTTCAAGGACCCGGCTTGGGTCCAGGCAGGCAACCCACCCACACACCTGCCCCCTACCGCCCCCCCCCCCCCCCCCCCCCCCCCCCCCCCCCCCCCCCCCCCAGCCAATGGTCTCACCGTGTAGAAGATAGAGAACAGCAGACAAAAGTATCCTCATCTTCCCATGACCTGTCCACATCTGCATCCGCTCTGCTGTCCTCCCTCCCTGTCAGTGACCAGCACCCCCATTTGTGCTCCACACTCTCGTGCCCAGTGAGTGCCCCTCTGCGTGGCCAGTCTCCTGTTGTGGGCCACCCTGTCAGCACAGATATGTTCTAGAATCATCTGTGTTGGTTCCGCATCCTCTCCTCCCACAACCTGGTCTCTTTAACCGCATAATTTCTCAAAAGAACTGTCTACACTGATCCCCTGTGCGTCCTTTCCCATTCACTCCTGTCTACTTGACATCAATAGTTGCTTGTCAATTTCTCCTCCAGATATAGTTCTATGGGTTTTTGCTCCAGGTGTTTTGAAACTATTGTATTAGGGGCCTATAAGTTTAGAAACATTCATCTTTATGATGAACCTATTTTTTTTATCGTGACATTGTCGATCTTTGGTCTTCCTAACGCTTCCTCTCCAAAAGCCTACTTTATCTGATATTACTAGAGCTATCTTAGCTTTGTTCTCTTCAATATTTATCGTTTTCCATCTCTGTATTTTTAAACTCCCATGTCCTTATGTCTGAGATGACTGTCTCATAAACAACATATGCCTAGATTCTCTTTCTGTATCTGTCTGGTAATCTCAATCTTCTAATTGCTTTTTTTGTCCATTTACATTTATCGTGTTTATGTATATAATTGGTCTTATCTCTTTCTATTCAATCTACTTTTTTCTGTGCTTTTTCTTCTTTTTCTTCTAATTGTCTGTTTGATTGTAACTTATACTGTTTCTGTTCTTTTAGGGATGGCCTTGAAATTTTACACTGCATACTTAATAAAGTCATGCTTCTACCTCCTACTAAGCCTTAACATTTTAACTGCCGTCACCCAGTCCCTCCCAGACTTAAAAGCTATTATATTGTCATTCCCTCCTTTTTGCAGTAGCTATGTATTTGACTCTTTTGCTCATGGATCCTCATTATGATTAGTAATTTCATCTTTTAAGTACAGTATTTGTTTATACATATACTTCCCCATTTCTTTTTTTTTAAGAGTTTAACAATGACTGTTTTAATGACTGTTTCTTTCTTTTTTTTTTTACATTTCCCTTCTCTTTTTTTAATCCTTTCATTAGGGGCTCATACAACTCTTATCACAATCCATACATACATCAATTGTGTAAAGCACATTTGTACATTCATTACCCTCATCATTCTCAAAACGTTTGCTCTCCACTTAAGCCCCTGGCATCAGCTCATTTTTTTCTCCTCCCTCCCCGCTCGCCTCACTCGTGAGCCCTTGATAATTTATAAATTGTTTATTTTGCCTGTCCAACGTCTCCCTTCACCCACTTTTCTGTTGTCCATCCCCCAGGGAGGAGGTCACATATAGATCCTTGCAATCAGTTTCCCCTTTCCACCCCACCCTCCCAACTTCCCCATTCCTTTATCATTGCTTCTTGCTGCGTGAGCCTTTGTTCTAAAGTTATTTTTCCTTCTTTCTAAATTAAGGGCATCCGTTGAAGTTCTTTGAGAAGGGGTTTGTAGTAAACACTTGAAAGTTAGTTTTGCTAGGGATACAACTAGGGAGTGAGAAGCGCGTTCTTTCTCTTCCTATTTGGAGGCTTTTTTCCGCTCTATTTTGGCCTTCTTTGTTTGCCCTTTTGATGCTTTCTGTACATGGGATCGTGCAGTAGGCACCCTTTATGTCTGGCTTCTCACGCCGTACTGTTTGTGAGATCCATCCTGTTGTTCGGATGGTCACGCGCATGCTCACTGCCGAGTAGCAGTCCACATCGTAAGCATGCCACATTCACTCAGCGCATCTGTGGCTGATGGAGGGGAGCGCCGGTGGCACAGTGGGTAAGTATTTCCCTGCCAACTGAACGAGGAAGCAGGTAGCTTTCCTAAAGAGTCACTGCCCAGACAGCTCTGCTCTGTCCTGTCGGCTCTCTACGAGTCAGAGTTGATTCCAGGACGGTGGGTAGTGGCTCTGTTTGAGGGGCATCAGGATTGTTTGCCAGCTTGGGACTATGAACATTCTAATTGGCATTTCTGCAGGATGCGTAGTTGGGAGTGGAATTGCTGAACCATAGGACATGCATATAGTCAGGTGTAGCAGTTTCTACCACAATTTTCCAAAATGGTTGTCCACTATACGCTCCTTTTAGCAAGATTGACAGGCTCGGCTCTTTCACACCTTCACTTGTATTTTGCATCTTCTTCATTTTAGCCATTGTGGGAGGGTGGGCACGCGAGCGTCCACAATGGTAGTGCGTGTCAGTTCCCTGAGGACTAACAAGGCTGACCAACTAAAGGTCACGTGGATAGCTGCTTTTGTGAAGGACCTGTCATATCATTTGCCCATTCTCCTACTAGGTTGTCTCTCTCTTACTGAATGAAGACTGTCACAGAGTACAGACAGAGGTCTCTCATTGAGTATCTTCTCTGATTTTGTGAGTTACCTGTTACTTTCTTAATGGAGTCTTTTACAGACCAGAAGCTCTTAATTTTCATATATTCTGATTTACCCATTTTTTCATTTTAGTGCTGGGCTGTGCCCTGTAGCAAAATGTTTTACACATTCTAAGGTCACAAAGCCATTTTCCTCTAAAACCCTTTTTGTCTTACCTTTGTTATCTAGAAGCGTGTGTGTGGTGTGAGTTTGGGGTAAGATCCTTTGTTTTGGCTCTTCAACACTTTTTTCTCAAATAGAATTTTTATTGTCATATCTTATCCATTCCAATATATCCCTTCCTTTCCCATACAGTTCTGTTGTTCAATCCCTTCGGGTGGGGCTATCAACTCCCCTCTCCCCCTCCCCAATCTTCTCCCCCCTCTCACTTCTGGAACCCTCAGGGAGTGCTTACTTCTGCTGAAAAGAACATCTCTTCCCCACTGCACTGCAGTATTGTCTTTGTCATAAGTCAGGGGCTCCAACGTGTGGCTCTTTCGAGAGTCTGTCTTCTGTTTCATGGTTATTTTGTCTGTGTTTGTGCTAGTGTCACACTGCATTAATTACTGTAGCTTTCTAGAAAATCTTGTTGTTTATGAAAGCCCTCCAGCATTATTATTCTTTAATATTACTATATTTATTTTTTGGCCTTTTCCATTAAAAGAAAAATTCCAAACAAGCTTTTCCATTTCCATCGAAAACAAACAGGTTTGTGTATGTCCTCATTTGTCTCTGTGACGTGTAAGTTTTAGTCTACAGACCTCACATAGCTTTCATGCGATTTAATCTTAATTCATGCTATTGTAAACTCTGTGCGTGTTTTCTTGTTAGTTGCTTTATTTAGAAACACAATTGGTTTCTTTGTATATTAGCCTTTTATCCAGTACCCTTGTCAAAATGACCTATTAATCCTAATAATTTCCAAATAAGATCATTTTGGGCTTTCTCCATATGCACCCACGTCATTTGCAAGTAATAATGGTTTATTTCTTCTTCTCGCCTTATTGCACCGGTAGGACTTCTGGTATTGAATAGAAACGGTAATAGTGGGCATCCTTGTCTTTTCCCCACCTTCCAAGAGGAAAGCATCAATCTGTCTTAGTCTAAACTCCCACTTTACGTGGAGCTAATTTGCTCATGAATGGATGCTGAATTTTCTCCGTAAAGGTACCGTATATACTCGTGTATAAGCCGAGTTTTTCAGCACATTGTTTATGCCGTTTTTGTGGTAAAATTAGGTGCCTTGGCTGATACTTGGGTCGGCTTATACTCAAGATTATACAGTACATTGCTTCTTGATTCCCCCAGGGTCTCATGTGGTGCCTTATCTCGTGTGTTGATGATCTCTGTTTATCACAACCTGGAGAAACACTGGGGTTGATTTAGAGAATTGGAAGGGGGGATGCTACTGATCCCCTTTAGGGTGCCCCAGTTTGGTTTGGGCAGGGGTGGGCAGGCTCCTCCCCTTTCCCGCCCACCCAGTCTCCAAGCCACTGTGCTGAAGGTAGCATCTGTCCTGGGAACCTGGCCCATCACATCGATGCAGGAGTCACAGTCCTGCTGCTTCTGTTTTTCCTTCTTGGTCTTCTTAGGCACATCTTCCTTTCATCTTCCCTCCCTTGCCAGAATCTCTGAACCTGAGCATGCTAAGATCACCAATTAGGCCTTCTGCAGGTGTTAGTTGTTTTGAGGTGAGAGGGCCTCCTGGCGTATCTGGGTCACCTTACTGCCACCCGAAGGGTCGGTGTCTTCTGACACCAACTGCAAATACAGCCCCTCACTCCAACCCTCACCACCCAGACCTGGGTCAGAGCCCACACATCAAAGGGCACAGGCCTCCCCACTGCCAATCTGCCAAAGACTAAAGGCACCACCAACGCAGGTGTTCCTAGGATTTCACACCTTTGACTGGCTGGCAAACCAGCCTGTACACCCCTTACAAACCCAGGGGTTTTCAAATGCACAACTCAAGGAACTCAGAAAAGCATATACATGTATGACCATATTTCATTAGAAAGGATGCATGTCAAGACCAGCATAGAAGATGCAGAGTAAAGTGTGTGTGGAGGCGGGGGTGGTGGTATCAGATCCCCAATACAAAGCCTCCATGTTCCAAAGGGCATGGTCCTTCCTGTGCATCGATGCCCCCTACCAACCAGGAAACTCACCCGAGTGCCCAGCGTTCTTATGGGGAGTTTGTTACAGAGGCAGGATTGATCAAATCCTCTTCCCCGAGGTTGAACCCAATCTCCAGCCTCCTCCTCTCCCTGTAGGTGAATCTTTCTCCCCAGCCCACATGAACCACCTCGTGTCGCATTCTTAACCTGACCGGTACAGTCTCGCGTCTGCCGTGAATAAGAAAGACATAAAGCACTTTCTTCACCCTTCGAGTCCCTACCATTCCGCTGAACCAGCTCTGGTCTCCATGACCTCCTGTGGCCAGCCATAACAGATACTCCCCCTCCCTCATCTGCCAGACCCAAGGGGCATCAGCGAGCTGCCCCCACCACCTTCTCAGAGGAGGTTCTCCACCTGACTTCTGTGATCTCCGTGGCGTGGGCTTCCCCCCCCC